ATGCACCCATCATTATAGTATCATACAGAATATTTTCACTGACCTAAAAATCCTCTGTGCTCTGCCTATCTATCCCTCCCTATACAAATTTTAGAATCACTTTGTTGATACCCACAAAATAACTTGCTGGGATTTTGATTGGGTTTGCACTGAATCTAATTTCAAATTCTACTTGTTCATTGCTGGTATATAGGAAAGCAATCAACTTTTGTGTATTAACCTTGTATTTTGCAACTTTTCTATAATCACTTGTTACTTCCAGGACTTTTTTTGTCAATTCTTTTGGATTTCCTGCCTAGAAAATTATGTCATATGTGAACAAAGACAGTTTTATTTCTTCCTTCTCAATCTCTATACCTTTTATTTCCTTTTTTTGTCTTATTGCATTAGCTGGTACTTTCAGTATTATGTTGAAAGGAGTGGTGAGAGGAGAATCCCTGCCTTGTACCTGATCTTAGTGGGAAAGCTTTGAGTTTGTCATTAAATATGATGTTACCTATAGGTTTCTTTTGTAGATTTTCTTTATCAAGTTAAGGAAGTTCTCGTCTTTCCCTAGTTTACTGAGACTTCTCCTAGTTTACTATCATGAATGGGTGTTGAATTTTGTTAAATGCTTTTTCTGCATCTATTGATATGATCCTGTAGGATGTTTTTTGTTTTTGTTTTTTGCTTATTGATGTGATGGATACATTAATTGATTTGTGAATGTTGAACCAGCCTTGCATACCTGGAATAAATATCTCTTGGTTGTGGTTATAATTCTTTTTATACATTGTTGGATTTATTTGCTAATACTTAGTTGAGGATTTTTGCATCTGTGTTCATGAGATACGTTTATCTGTATATCTCTTGTAATGTCCTTGTCTGGCTTTGGTATTAGGGTAATGCTTGCCTCATAGAATGAATTAGGAAGTATTCCTTCACCTCTTAATCTCTGAAAGAGATTGTAGAGAATTAGTATAATTTCTTCCTTAAGTGTTTGGTAAAATTAACTGGTGAACCCATCTGGGCCTATTGCTTTCTGCTTGGGAATGTTATTAATTACTAATTCAATTTCTTTAATAGATATAGGCCTATTCAGATTGTGTATTTTTTTCTTGTGTGAGTTTTGGCAGCTTGTATCTTCAAGAAATTGGTCCATTTCATCTTGGTTATCAAATTTGTCAACATAGAATTGGTCATAGTATTCCTTTAGTATCTTTTTTTTTTTTTTTTTTTTTTCTGTATGCGGGCCTCTCACTGTTGTGGTCTCTCCCGTTGTGGAGCACAGGCTCCGGATGCACAGGCTCAGCGGCCATGGCTCACGGGCCCAGCCGCTCCATGGCATGTGGGATCTTCCCGGATCGGGGCACGAACCCGTGTCCCCTGCATCGGCAGGCGGACTCTCAACCACTGTGCCACCAGGGAAGCCCTTTAGTATCCTTTTAATGTCCATGGGCTCTGTAGTGATTTCCCTTCTTTCATTTATTTCTGATAGTAATTTATGTCCTTTCTTTATTTTTTTCTTAGTTAGCCCAGCTAGAGGATTATTGATTTTCTTGATCTTTTCAAAGAAACAGCTTTTTGTTTCCTTTATTTTGTCTCTTGATTTCCTGTTTTCAACTTCATTGATTTCTACTCTACTACGTATTGTTTCTTTCCTGTTGCTTACTATGAATTTAATTTGCTCTTCCTTTTCTAGATTCCTAAGGTGGAAACTAAATTGATTTTAGATCTTTGTTCTTTTCTAATATATGCATTCAATGCTATAAATTTCCCTCGAAACGCTGCTTTTACTGCATTCCACCAGTTGTGATAAGTTGTGTTTTCATTTTCTTTAGTTCAAAATATTTTAAAATTTCTCTTGACGTTTCTTCTTTGACCCATGTGTTATTTAGAAATGTATTGTTTAATCTCCATGTATTTGGGGATTTTCCAGTTATCTTTCTGCTATTGATTTCTAATTTAATTCTACTGTGGTCTGAAAGCAGACATTCTATGATTGCTATTCTTTTAAATTTGTTAAGGTGTATTTTATGACCCAGAATGTGGTCTATCTTGGTGAATGTTCCATGTGAGCTTGAGAAGAATGTATTTTCTGCTGTTGTTGGATGAAGTTATTTAATAGGTGTTGATTATATCCAATTGATTGATATGTTGTTGAGTTCAACTATGTCCTTACTCATTTTCCTCCTTCTAGATCTGTCCATTTCTGATAGAGAGGTGTTGAAATCTCCAACTATGATAGTGGATTCATCTATTTCTCCTTCCTATCAATTTTCACCTCACGTAGTTTGATACTCTGTTGTTAGGTACATACATGTTAAGGATTATTATGTCTTCTTGGAGAATTGACCCCTTTATCATTATTATTATTTAATGCCCTTCTTTATCCCTGATAATTTTCCTTGTTTCAGAGTCTGCTGTGTCTGAAATTAATAGAGCTATTCTTCCTTTATGTTTCATTGGTATTAGCATAGTATATTTTTCTCCATCTATTTACTTTTTTATAGCAATTATTATGATTTGAAGTGTTTTTTTTAATTTTTCATACTACCAAGCATCTCAAAACTTTCTCAGTTACTTAGTTTGGTTTGTAAGCATTTATTTTCTATTTTTGTAAGCATTTATTTTCATTTAACTTTGTATGGTATTTCTAAAACTTACATATGATGAAAATCAAGTCCATCCACTTTCAATCTATACGTGTCTTTATATTTAAATGGGGTTTCTTGTAGATAGCATATAATTGGGTCTTGTTTTTTGATCTACTGATAACCTCTTGTCTTTCAATTAGTGTATTTAGACCATTGATGTTCAAAATGACTATTGATACAGTTGGATTAACATCTACCCTATTTGTTTTATTTTCTACTTGTTGCCCTTATTCCTATTTTTGTCTTCCACTTTTTCTGCCTTCTGTCATTTTAAATGAGCATTTTATATGATTGTATTTTGCTCCTTTCTTAGTATAATAATTCTACTTCTTTTTTTTTACTTTTATAGTAGTTGCCCTAGAGTTTTCAATATACATTTACAGCTAATCCAAGTGTAGTTTCAAATAACACTATAGCACTTCATGAGTATACCTTATAATAATAAAATACTCCTATTTCCTCCCTCCTGTTTCCTGTATTATTTTTGTCATTCACCTCACTTATATATAAGCATAGGTATATAAGTATATACATAAGACATATACATATACATAAGCATACATAATTGAATACATTGTTACTACTATTATCTTTGAACAAACTTATCTGTTAGATCAATTAATAAGAAAAATTAAAGTTTTTATTTTACCTTCACTTACTCCTTCTTCAATGCTTTTCCTTTTTTTAATGCAGATGCAAGTTTCTGACCTATATTATTTCCTTCTCGCTAAAGAACTTAACATTTCTTGCAAGGCAGTTCTACTGGCAAAAAATTCCCTCAGTTTTTGTTTGTCTGAGATAGTATTTCTTTCTCCTTCACTTTTCAAGGATAATTTCACAGGGTATAGAATTTCAGGTTAGTGGGGTCTTTCTGTCAACATTTTAAATATTTCACTCTACTCTCTTCTTGCTTCCATGGTTTCTGAGAAGAAGTTGGATGTGATTCTTATCTTGTTTCTTTATAGGTAAGGTGTTTTTCCCCTTTGGCTTCTTTCAGGATTTTTTCTTTAACTTTTACTTTCTGTAGTTTGAAAATGATATGCCTATGTAGAGTTTGTTTGTTTGTTTTACATTTATCCTTCTTGATGTTCCCTGAGCTTCCTGGATCTGTGGTTTGGTGTCCAACATTAATTTGTGAAAATTCTCATTCATTATTGTTTTATATATTTTTTCTATTTCTTTTCCTGGTGTGCCCATTACACCTTCTATTGTCCCACAGTCTGTTCTGTCTTTTCTGTCTTTGTTCTCCTTGCCTTTCCGTTTTGGAGGTTTCTATTGAGGTAACCTCAAGCACAGAGATTTTTTTCCTCAGCTGTGACCAGTTTTCTAATAAGCCCAACAAAAGCATTCTTTCTTTCTGTTACACTGTTTTTGATCTCAGCATTTCTTTTTGGTTCTTTCTTAGGATTTCCACGTAGGCTTATATTGCCCATCTGTTCATGTATACTATCTATTTCATCCATTAGAGCCCTTAGAATATTAACCATAGTTGTTTTAAATTCCTGGTCTGATAATTCCAACATCCTGCCATGTCTGGTTCTGATGCTTGCTCTGTTACATCAAATTGTGTTTTTGCCTTTTAGCATGCCTTGTAATTTTTTCTTGATAGCAGAACATGTTGTACCAGGTAAAAGGAATTGCTGTAAATAGGACCTTAAATAATGTGGTGGTAAGTTGTAGGGGGAGGGGAAGCATTCTATAGTCCTATGATTAGGTCTCAGCCATTTAGTGAGCCTGTGCCTCTGGACTGTGAACTTCACAAGTTTTTCCAAGTTTTTTTCTCCCTGCTTAGGTAGAACAGAATGGCTAAAGTGGACTGGAGTTGGGTATTTCTTTTCCCACATGGAAAGCTTGAGTAAGCTGGAGTTGGGTACTTCCATGCTCCCAGGTCAGTTAGGCTATGATAACACCCTGGCAGATTAGGCTCTGGTTAACTAGCTTCTCATGAGGGTAGACCTTGTTAAGAAGAATATAGTGCTCTGGAGTATTTCAAAATGGTTCCTTTTTCCCCTCCCCCTACCAGAAGCACAAGGGGATTTTTCTCTGATATTTACTGTGGGTACCTGGTCAAGTTCCTGGGGGTAAATCTCATAATACTGTAGGGGTTGCCCTATGCCTGGGTCCTTTTAGAATTTTTCACTCTCAGACTTGTCTACATTGAGCCTCCAGCAATTTGTCAGCAATAACTGTTCAGGTATTCCAACCCTGGCACTGGTTCCCATAGTGGCTTCCACTTGTGAGACTCTGCTCTGCTAAGTTGTGACTCTCTGAATTCATCTGTCTGTCTCTTCAGTCTTGGGGGTGGCGGTTTTCCCTGTGTCCTCACCTCTCTTATGGATCTAAGAAGAGTTGTTGATTTTTCAGTCTCTTCAGCTTTTTACCACATTGTGAGGATGGAGTGGACTCTTTCAAGCCCCTTACATGCAGAACTGGAAGCCAGAAGTCAAGGTAAATTTATGCCTGGAACATTCTTCCATGATACACAGCTTATACTCTTAGAATCGGAGGGAACCAAGACTATGCTGAAATTCTAAAGCTATACGTTTTTCTCAAGGTCTGAAGAAGCTCTGGTGTATTTTTTAACAATTTTATTGAGGTTCATCCACATTCCATATTTTGTTCTTTTTATTGGTGGGTAGTTAGTATTCCATTGTATGAATATATCAGATTTTGTTATCCATTCACCAACTGATGAATGTAACGGCTCTTTCCAATTTTCGCTACTATAGATAATACTGCAGTGGACATTCACGTGCAAATCTTTGTGTAGACATCTGTTTTCACTTCTCTTGAGTGGGTACCTAGGTGTGGAATTGTTAGATCCTATTGTAAATTTATGTTTAACTTTTAAAGAAACTGTCAAGGTGTTTTCCAAGGCAGCTGTGCTACTTTACATTCCCACCAGCGATGAATGAAGGTTCTGGTTTCTCCACATCCTTACCAACATTTGTCTTTGCGATTATAGCCATTGTTATGAGGAAAAAATTATAAGTTATAAATTTCCTATAAGATGGAAAAATTAAATTTGATTAAAAGTAAATAAAAATTGATTTAAAAAGGTAAAGAGGGTCTGGTTTGGCATAAAATGATGGGGCCTGGTCAACAGGGATGAGTCAAGGGAGAGGAATAGCATTTGGCAGATCCTCATTATTTGTGCTATTTTATGCTGATAAAGTTTAAAAAACAAGCTATCTTAAGCTAAAGTCAAATAAAGAGTTTAATAATTATTTAGCTAAATTCAAGAAAAACTCACTTTTTCACAGCGGCAGTTAAAGCCTGTGGATTAGAAGTTCATCCTGCGTAATTAGCTCTGATTATTCCATTGGCTTGTAAATCCTTAGCTTTTCAAAGCTCTATAAGACTTTTATAAATCCCATAGGCCTGCCAGAGGCTTTAGGTAGTTTTTTGTCACCCTTCTTTCAAGAATTATATGAGATAATCATTAATCACTAAATTATATTATTTTATAATATAGAAGTTTTATAGAAAGTAACTTTGAGGCGTTTGATGGATTATAGGGGGAAAACAGGCATTAGAATTTGTGCTAGACCACTGCATGAGGGATTTACACATTTATGCTCATCTTGTAGCCAAACTTGGTCATTTTTCTAACTGAGCTAGAAACATCTCTCATTTTCTTCAGTCTGTTTATGGAGAAGAACACCAGCAAAAGCTCCCATATGTTGGAGTTTGGTCAGCTGACGATTTTTTTCTTTGCAAGTTAACAGTTGACAAACTAGAGCCCACAGTGCAACTTGACCTTGGCAGTTTCAGCTGGCCTTTTAATTAAGGACATTTACCATTACCCTAATTTGCTACTGTGTATCCACCTCCCTGCTTCCACTTCCTCCTCCTAGAATTGCAACCAAATTGGGCAATTTTGTTGATGAAACTAACAATGTCAGTAACGGCCAACAAATTCTACCTTACATATTAGGTCCATAAATCTTGCCCCAACCCTGTTGGAATGCCACAGGTATTTGGTTCTAAAAGTGAATTATCAAGAAAGCAAGTGTGGGTTTGCGAGCACCGTTCTTTCAGAATCAGAGAAGCTCAAGTTTGGAAATATTCTTGGTCTTCTAATCATGTAGTCCACCTGCTGGGTATCTGTCATTGTACTGCTCTCAGCTGTATTTGTGATTCCGTTTTCTTATCTTAGATTAGGGGATCATATGATCTCCTACCTACCCATCCCTGAGGTCCTTGAAACTTTGAGTTCCTTGAAATGAAGCTTCATGAACACAAAACATAATGTTGGAAAGTGAAGAAAAATAGTTTTTAACCTTTTTGGAGTACTGTGGTCTCAAATTGTATGTACACAAAAGAGGAGAATTTAGATCAAAGATTAACAACACTTAACCAAGAGTCCATGGACACCCTGGAGGGATCCAAGAGGTACGCATTGTTGGCTTGTAGAAGTGTCTCAATGGATGTTTTTCCGAAGATAGGGCCCAGAGCTTTCATCAGGCTTTTCAAAGTGCCTCAAAAATATAAGTATTTCAAAGAGAGAATTGCTAACCATTGGGATAGATGACAGAGTGAATCTTTTCCTGACAGATTTTTAAGAATAAGGTATTTAATGGTCTGTATATTAGGTAAAATTTTTTCTATCAGTATTAAGTTTCTTACGTGCGATAATAGTATTACAGTTATGTAAGAGAACATTTTTTTTTTTTTTGCTAAAAGAACATTCTTAATTCCTAGGAGTACATGCTGAAATATTTAAGGATATACTGTTATTATGCCTGTAATTTACTCTCAGTAGTTCGGCAAAGAAGTGCTATATACAAGTATCAATAGGGAGAGACTGAGATAAAGCTGTATGTTAACAAATGTGGCAAAATGTTAACAATTGGTGAATCTGGGCAGAGAGTAGGCAAATATTGGTTGTTCAATTCCTTCAACTTTTCTATGAATTAAAAAAAAAAAAATTAGGACTTCCCTGGTGGTCCAGCTGTTAAGACTCCACGCTCCCAATGAAGGGGGCCCAGTTCGATCCCTGGTCGGGGAACTAGTTCCCACATGCCACAACTAAAGATCCTGCACTCCGCAACTAAGACCTGGCGCAGCCAAATAAATAAATATTTTTTAAAATCTTTAATTATGTATAATAAGGCATTCACTTATCTGCCTTAATTTCATAATTATAGGCAAGGAAGTGCTAGTATCATATTTTATAGATGGCTAAAACCAGGCAGAAAAAGATTAAGAAAACCAGGCAGCAGCATCCCAAATTACATTGGAGCCATAACCAAGGACAGACCTAAAAACAGTGTCTTCTTCCCATCTTCTCCCCACATAGCTCCAGCCCGTCCCGTAGGCAGACCCATGGTTTGTTCACACAAGCCCCTGAAATCACTGTAGTGCCCACTGTCGTGCTATCTTTTAAGTTCACGGGCAAAAGCAATCGCAGCCACTGCCTAGTCGATGTTTTGCTTGAACAGCAAAGTATGCACAGTAACAGATGGCATCTTGTGACCTTCTTAATAACAGGCTCAGCTGCCAATGTTCCCTTGTGTCCAGTCTCTGCAGGGAATTTGGAAACTCTTGCCTTACACTTGAATATTTTCTGACAAACACATTTAACCATTTATTAGACTGTTTCCTGATTTCAAATAGAGGAAAACAAAATTCCCAACTCCTGAAAGGGACGTTGGTATTCCGTGGGTCTGGGGGCCCATCCTGGGATTCTTTGGGGTGTGCTGGCCATCATCCGGCGTATCTGTCATTTTGAGTGTGGTGAGGACCTCAGTCCCAGGCAAAACGCTTCCCAGGCTGCCTGGATTTATGGGTGGCCAATATAAGCTTTTTTCTTTCTGTAGTTTAAAAGAAATGTATGCGCTTCCCACAGCCAGGCATACAAATTAACCAGAAAACAGACTAAATGCCGGCGTTAGAAGGTCCCTCTGCTGTGACAGCCCACACCAGGAGTGAAGTCGGGAGCCCCGTGGTGGGTGAGGCTTGTTCTAAGCCACTTTGCTCCCTTCCTTGGGCAGCTGCGCTGTCGAGCTCCACGGTGGCAGTGGGAAGAAGAGGGGGCGGGGGGCAAGGATTAGGTGAGGCAGTGGCCTGCCCGGCGGCCCTGCTGGTCCTCAGCTGTCCTGCAGGGGCAGCTCGCCTGTGTTAACAATGGAAGGCACACAAGAGTGGCCCTAGGAACAGCCAGGGTGGATATTCATGTCGAAGCCTGAGGAGTCCTCTTCTCCCCCAGCAGAATAGACCTGCAGGGCTTGCACCAGGAGGAATCCAGGAACAAGTCATATCAGTCCCCATCAGGCAACAGGTGTGGGGGGGGGATTGGTGGAGAAAGTGCTAGAACATTCTCAGTGCGGGTGGTAGGAGTGCAAAGTGTGGAACCTCAGGGATAAACAACTCAGGTGACAGGCACAAGATGGCGTGAATTCACATGCAGGAGGAGATAGGTAGGAATTAGGTTTCTGTTTGGCGGGGTGGGAGGTTTCATCTGGGGGTTTCTCCTGGTAGCTGAGGCAGAGGAGGGGAGTCTTTCCTCTTGGCCCCAAATCCTGGCCTTTGGAAAAGAGGATGCCTTGGAGAGGGGCGGCCCTCCAGATGCCTCCGCCTGGGAGATGCTGGTTTGGGTGTAGAGAAGCCTGGATGACGAGCTGCGAGTCTCTCCCAGGACAGCTGGGGCAGATTTTGCCTGGTTTGGTGGCCATCTTACCCCTTTACTGTTCCGTCCCGGGGCTGGCCTGTTGCTCCCTCCCCAGGCCGACCAGCACACCTGCAGGAAAAGTCCCTCTCTTCGGGCATGCCCTAACCCATCTGCCCCCACCTTCACTCTGGGGCCCCAGCCTCCAGAATCCAAAAGCCTTAGAAACGCTCCCAGAACGGCACAAGGGGGCACATCCCTGAGACGTTATGGAAACAAGGTGAACAAAGCTTGGAAGCCACAGGACACCCACATCACGAAGAAGAGGAGGGTACTCGCCCTGCCTCGGGCCCTACAGGCACCAGCTCTCCTCCCGCTCTCTTTCCTCTCTCCCGCTCATCCCCGATCGTGTTCACCGTCACGGGTTTATAGGACTGCGTGTGTATGTTTCAGATTTGGGTTCGCCTGGCTGTGCCTTGTTCAGCCTGTTACAGAGCCTGGGTTGGGGGTGGCGCAGCGTGTACATCTAAAACCACGTACCAAATGCAACAGTGCCATTTGGAACGCTATTTTTCATTCCTTTTTTTTTTTTTTTTTTTTGGCCAAGCCGCGCTTGGCTTATGGGATCCTAGCTCCCCGACCAGGGATTGAACCTGGGCCCTCGACAGTGAAAGCACGGAGTCCTAACCGCTGGATCACCAGGGAATTCCCTCATTCAATTTTTAAAGTATTACAATTTTATGTGCTACTACAGAGGATTTTAAAGCCTGCCATTGGAAACACAAGTTTGTTTTTTTTAAACAACTTTATTGGAGTATAATTGCTTCACAATGGTGTA